CTGGGAACCCCACAGTCTTGATGGAAAGACATATCTGTCAGGTGGGGGGGGAAAAAAAAGTGGTCGGAATATTATACGCATTAAACAACAACAACGTAACAAATGTCACGCAACACAGCAGTGGATCTTTTCACTGTGTTTGTACAAAGTTATTTTTAGCCTCAATAGTTCGACAAACACGTTGGAGAGAAGGACAGCAGCACACAAATTATGAAGCATAACGTGATTTTTATACAACCACCATGAAGATGCCAAAAACACAGAAACAGTCCGGCGTATCAATAATTAAATGACAATCAAAAGAGAAATGCAGACATAACGTTAAAGCGGCGAGGGAAGAACTAGCCCCGAACATCATCGGTATGTTAGCGACCCAACATATTAGCAAGCTCGCCGCACCACCAGGCAAGAATACCTGAAATACGTTACCTTAACATTTAAATACTGAACAGTTCGGAATCCACCTCACCAAAGTCTTTTCGTAAAGCGTATAAATTAAAAAATGTGGACAGGGTGAAAGTGAACAGGTTATCACAAATGTCTGGTAAAACGAGGCTTTCCGTGTTTCCAGTCGGAATGTTCATGATAAAACGCATAGCTGGACCAATCAAAGGGCTCTCTTTCAGTGATTGGCCAATGACAAGGCGTTGTGAGGTTTTACTTCCTGTTTGCCTGCGCGCGTCTGTCATGGACATGGTCACACACAAAAACACACAAAAACATACTCACACACAACACACACATTATATATAGGTGAGTCCATTGGGTCACCACGGTCTTTAGTCATTTTAATCATTTAATGAGTGCAGGAACGAGTCATTTTTGATATCGACACTTCGATCGACGGACAAAATATTGGGTACACAATGCACATCTTGAGGAGCTACTGTATAAAATACTCATCTGAGTTGACGATAACAATATTCATTCCTTATGAAACTATCATGGCTGTGCTGCTTTAACATTCGTCTAATGTTTGCAGTGATGTACGACTACACAACTGCGTACATTAAAGAAAATAAGCAAAACATACGGGTGTAGTTTCACTCGGTAGCCTCTAGAGGGTAGCAGAAGAACATTTATCACGCTGCATTGTTGAAGCTGCGTTACTATGGCAACTTCCATGGGTTGCACAAAGACGCATCCAGGGAGGATGAAATACACCGTCGAGTTCATTGACTACTTCGGACTCGAAGTTTTGTGCATTCTTTAAGAACTCGGGGAGGGTTTCTAGCAGCGGAAATCCATGACACTCACCGCACTCCTTACTGATCCATCTCGTCAGACGATGCTATGACTTTCCACCTCGTGGCACAGAAAAAAATGTAAATACTTTTGATGTATTCAGACCGCAATCAATCTCATGGATATTTTTGGGAGTGTTGTTGTATAATCTGTTTTTATTGGTTAGCTAATTCATCCATGTATGGAAACCTCCTCATTCAGGTGCCAGGTGAACTGGAGGCTTAGCTGACTTTGGTTGAGAAGTGGACTGCTCCCCAGTATGTCCATTGGTTGTTTGGAATTGAAATGTGCGTACTTGTTGTTTGGAATCCAAGTATTAATGTGTGACTGTGATGGCTGGGCGTTCATATTCTCCACCATCCTGCAGCCTGACTCATCTCTTCCCTTATAACAGGCAAACAAAAAAAAAAAAAGGAAGGAAATTAGTTTTGCAGCTCCTTTTTTGAGCATGCAAAAACGCACAGTCCAAGGGAGTCACAAACGGTTCTTTTCATCCAGTTGCTCTCTGATAATGTTTTCTGTCCTCGCGCAAAATGATTGCCTTGATCCCAGGAGCATTGATGACGAATCAGATATTCTCCCAGAAGAAGTTTCTTCTTCAGAAGCGAGCAAACTTTTTCGCTGAAGGGCCACATTTTATTTATGAAAACAAACAGATGGGCCAGCGCGTTAGTCGATGAACTGACAATCAAATCTGTTCATCTATCTTTAATTGCGCTTATCCTGTTCAGAGACACGGGGAGCTGTAATATATTGATAAATTATTGCTCTCTCATTTTTCATTGCATTATGTCTAATTCATGTCATTGCTGGTAATTAACACATTGCCTAATAAACTACACATCAAATGTTAAATATGCCGTGTATGCCTTGTCATCTTGTGCCAGTATATTGACCTTGATGCCTTTGTGCAGTAACTCAAAATCCCTGGCGCCTGGCAACATATTCCTCATATGGTCACTGACGATGCACTCAGTTGGACTGCTGAGCAAAGGGAATGAATTTCACCAAAAGGAAAAAAAAAAGAAACAAGCGGTCAAGGAGCTTGCTGTGAGATGATTCTCTGCAGCCCAAAACTATTGCCTTTAAAAAAATTTGAATTCTTCGGTTTGAAGGTTGCCAAGCACTGAGAGAAGTGCAATTGCTCATCCTCTCATGTGTATTATCTCCAGAATTACTATGGAAACCAAATTGTCTTATTAGACGCGCACGTGTGTCCGCCATGCTCCCAAAAGTGCGCACTTCACACACCTTCGTTTACTTTTGACGCATAATCACGATCGAGCATTTAGCCCAGAAGGCATTTGATCACCACACCCCCGTCTGACCCCGTCAAAAAAAAAAAAAGAGTCACAATAATTAATTTGGATTTCCAAAATGGGTCTATTTATGATTGACATGTCTGCCAAAATTTGTGTCCGTTGCTGGAACTGGTATTGACTGCTAATTAAAAAAAAAACAAAACTTGTGTTTATGACAATAGCTAAAAAAACAAAAACAGATGTTTTTTGTTGTTAGTTTTTGATCACTCGCAGTGAAAGCGGGAACAAGCTGTGCTGCCTCTGCGAGTGCAGCGTGACAACGTTGTGTTTTCAGGGATGAGAAGTGAAGACTTTAAGTGAACCGAACATCTTCGGTGGAAGAACAATCACGGGGTGGAGTGGGTGGGGGGCACCGAGGCTCTTCTGTCTGAAAGCTCTCATTAGAAATGAGAATTTCATGTTATTTGTCTTGTTCCACCGATGAAACCGTCGGAGTGAAACAACCCCCAAACTGCATTCGTGAATCAATTTTTCGACATGCTTGGCCTCAATGATGAAAAGGGGGGGAGGTTGTTTTTGTCTCCATGCGATTTGATTGAGAGGAAAAGGCAGCTTTCAGCATATTCACTGGCCACAACCGCAAATAGTTGATCGTATTCGGTGGGGTCACTTTAAAAACACAATTGACTGTTTTTTGTCTCTCCATTGGAATCGCAGTAAATGAGCTTTTAATGTTCTAGCAAATTTTCACCTTGTTTTTAAAAATTTATTTATTTTTTTGGTCACTCAGCAACCGCCGCCGAAGCGCCGAGTGAAGAAGGTTAATCAAGCCGCGCCTCGCATACACACCGACTCATATTCACCACTTTGCACTTATTTGTCGGATGATTCGGCAGAGTTGACGAACCCGTTTATTTCCCGCAAGCTCGCATCACATTCGCCGGCATGAACGGCCACTTAAAAGGCTGCGACGCGCTCGTTAGGGCGCAACTCGTGATGTCGCAAAGTCGCGCGCGACCACTGCGAGGGAAGAAAGAACATTGAGGGACAAACTCGCTTTCAAACAACATCTTTCAAACAAATATATCTTTGGACGAACGTCAGTGACTTTGTTGTGGACATGTGACATGCTTGACAACTTTTCTTCCAATCGACCTCCCCCCGTGCCGCTCCATTCAAAAGAATACGTCCATGAAGCAAAGCAAACATGTGACATTAGGGATTTTCCTTTACAGGCTCATGGGAGGGAGGGGTGTGGGGGGGTGCGGGGGTCATGTGCAAGTTAACCGGGTTTTTCTTTTTTTTTCCCCCCTCTGCAACAAGACACAGTGTATGCACGCACAGGTGCACAATCAACCATTCATCTATTTATGTATGGATCTATTTGCATGCTCCAGCCCTTATGAAAGCTCGTAATTGTTCCTGCATAACACTCACTCCTGTGGCGCCGACATCGCGCATGCATGAATGTCAATGTGCGCAGCGGTCATGATGATGACTTGAAATTTCTGTCTCTAAAAAGGAGACCAAGAGCAATCATTTCAAATTTTTTTGTCACCTGTAACCTGTACAACTCAACTGCACACAAAAAAAAAAAAAAAAAAAAAAAAAGGAGAAAACGCGATTGCACAAAATGCGCTCACGTTCGAAACACAGCGACATCTCCGGTGGTCAGAGGGTGTGCACACTTATGCAACCACATTGATTCAATTGTTTTACTTGTTTTTTTTTTACTTTGCTTCGTGTGTGTGTACATACATATTTTTTTTACTTCAGTTGTACAAGTTACACGTCACATGATGGTGAGGTTTTTTTTTTGTTTTTGTTTTTTTTTTTTTTTTTTATGAACATCTTGTGCCAGCCTGAAATCCACAAGCTGTAGCACTTCCACAGATTGCAACTAACTCTCGTTTGTTTGTTTTTTTTTTCCTACGGCATAACTCAATTGAAAGGAGTGAATCTTAAGTCATTTTAGACAACGGCTCATTGGACCTCCTCGGTGCTTGTCTTTTGTCCTGTTTTCCCTCTCGGCCGTCATGAACGACGTTGAGAAACCCGCGAGGTCGTCCAAATACAACAGGCAGCAAAACTTTTGACTGAAGAACTCGTCCTTCGAGGCAGTTTTGTCGAGCCGCTGCAGGGAGGGAGATTCATCCCCCGCGCGGCCTTGAATTGCATTCTCAAGAGCCCGAAAGTCTTTTGTTCGGACTCGGAAAAAATCTTCACTTTGGCATGCCGGAGATTTACAGGGAGCGGCGATGTGCTCGCCTGCATCTTCTTTTCCATTTTCATCATTGCTGAGCAACAATATTTCTTTCTTCCCTCAATCTTTTCATTCATTAACATCCTCCCCTTTTCTGGCCTGACTCACATCTCCGCCGCCAGCCAATGGGAAAGATGGACAGTGAGAGCAGTGGGGGGGGGGGGGGGGGGGGAAAAAAAAAGGGGGGGTGAGGAAGTATAACAGTGGTAAGTGGGAGGATCGCACTCACCATCTCCAGGTTTGCCCACCCTGCACTCGCTCGCCGAGCTCATTCTGACTCTGCTCTGGCCACTCCTGCTCCCCCTAGTGAGGACCAACCTGAGAGGAGATCGTTCGATGCGCCCCTGAACGTGAAGTGGCCCTTTTGAAAATGGGGCAGCGAGAGAACGAAGGTTTTTAGGAGGGAAGAAGGAGAAAGAAGAATCATGAACGCCACGGGGCAGGAGGGACTGATCCCGGGCGAGCGCAACCGGAGCCAAGCGTCACTCACCGCAAACGACGCGCAGGCACCCGAGCGGGAGTCCTCGGAGGGGTGCTATGAGCAGCTGCTGATCTCCACCGAGGTCTTCTTGACCCTGGGCATCATCAGCCTGCTGGAGAACATCCTGGTGGTGGTGGCCATCGTCAAGAACAAGAACCTGCACTCGCCCATGTACTTCTTCATCTGCAGCCTGGCCGTGGCCGACATGCTGGTGAGCGCCTCCAACGCGTCGGAGACCATCGTCATCGCGCTGATCAACGCCGGCAAGCTGAACATCCCGGCGCGGCTCGTCAAGAACATGGACAACGTCTTTGACTCCATGATCTGCAGCTCGCTGCTGGCGTCCATCTGCAGCCTGCTGGCCATCGCCATCGACCGTTACATCACCATCTTCTACGCGCTGCGCTACCACAACATCGTCACGCTGAGGAGGGCCACCCTGGTCATCGGCGGCATCTGGGCCGGCTGCATCGCGTCGGGCGTCCTCTTCATCGTCTACTCGGAGAGCACCACCGTGCTCATCTGCCTGATCAGCATGTTCTTCACCATGCTGGTGCTGATGGCCTCGCTGTACGTGCACATGTTCCTGCTGGCGCGCCTGCACATGAAGCGCATCGCCGCGCTGCCGGGCCGCGCGCCGGTCCAGCAGCGCGCCAACATGAAGGGCGCCATCACGCTCACCATCCTGCTGGGCGTCTTTGTGGTGTGCTGGGCGCCCTTCTTCCTGCACCTCATCCTCATGATCAGCTGCCCGCGCAACCCCTACTGCACCTGCTTCATGTCGCACTTCAACATGTACCTCATCCTCATCATGTGCAATTCCGTCATCGACCCCATCATCTACGCCTTCAGGAGCCAGGAGATGAGGAAAACCTTCAAGGAGATCTTCTGCTGCATGCATGCCCTCGCGTGCGTGTGAACGCGCGAGTGGGGTCGATGGGCCGACGGCCTCCACGCTGCAAAATCCGGGACGGACTTTCACTGAGAAAGTTTCAGCCTCACTTTTAAAAAAATGATGTTCGAAATATACATTGTGTCCCAATACTTTTACCCGGAGAGTGGAGCCGGAACATTCAACAATTCCAGCATCTGATTCCAGGCAGCGTGTGGGAAGAAACTCGGACATCCCCGAAGGGCTGCCGAGACTTGATGTGTCCTCTGCTGTTGCGGTAGCACTTGTTATGCGCCCTCGCCGCTGCTCCAAAAAAGACGGGAACATGCTCTCGGGGGTAATCATGAGGCGAGAGAGCACAACAAACGAGAGATTGTTGCACTCATACAAAGTTCTTGTGAAGTACAATCACGACTTGAGCCAAATAGCTGAATGAGCCTAACGAGTCAAAACTCTTTGACGTTTCACAATCTTTTGTCCACTCGAAGCACCCGCTCCAGGTTGGCGAATTTGATGGGTTCCGGGACCCCTGACAGGGAATATGTTTTATCAAGGTCCTCTCATGATGTAAATGCCAACTGAACACAAACGCTGTGCCGACACTTAAATGCTATAGGACTTCAAAAAAAAAAATATATATATATATATATA